GTGGACATCGGGCGAGTGGATTTTTTTCTTTTGGCTTGGACACGTATACATAACGTGCGTGCGCGCGCGCGCGAAATATCGGGAAAATATCAAGCTTTAATTGCTTCGAGCTTACAAAAAAAAAAAATAAATAAAAGCCGACCGATTCTCCAATTATATCAATGGGCTCGATCAATTCACGTCATGAGGAGGTTGCGCTCTGTAAAATGAGTATACAGAATGTACATGTGTGTGTGCAGCGCTTGCGACAACGTCGATGCTTATGTATACGCGGACACGGTGTATGCATTCGTGCCGCGCACAGACGACACGTCGTTGTCGATGTGATAGTTCATACTCTCGCTGCAGAGAGGCCCGTGATCGATGGACGCACTGTCTTGCGATGAAATTCAACGGGACATAGATGTATATATTGGAGTATACGAAAGAGGGACAATGAACCGTGTATTTGTCAAGGAAGAGAAAAAAAATCGCTTCGATATTATGATCGCTTTGATATTAAAATATCGTAAAAACCTAGCTTCGTCTTATACAATTATTTTTATCTCGCCACTTAGAGATTTACAGATGTAGGTATTCGCCATCTAGTGATGACTGGAGACTTCAATTTGTAGTATCGTGCACTTTTAAAATAGTTAAAAATTGGCCCATAGATCTTTTGAAACAATTTAATTGTCATTTTCAGGCATTGAACAATATCCTTTGTAAAAGAGTTGCAAAATTGCACCTACAGAACATAATAGTAACAGAATGGCAATAAGCATGCAAATTATTGATAACGTATTTAAAAACATTTATAATAGTTATTTATTAGACCATTATCAACGTTGAGAGTTTCTACTAGGTCTGTTGTTGTATTTTAAGCACGAACATTTTATGCATTTTCATCTAAAAATGAAGTTATTTGACTATTTGTTAAACTTGAATATTTGTTTAGGAATGAACAAATAACTCTGTAGGTAGAATGACTTCGAGGATGTGAAGAGTATTTTTGAAAACAAATTTGAATTTTCAGGATTTTCATTTTCCAATATATTTTACACGAATATATACTTGGATGAAGCTCGACTTTTTGACCTATCACACTTCACGTGATAAAACTGACGTATATTTCTTAGATAAATTATTTATCCAAGAACGAAATATGTACTTCTCATCCTGATGTAATATTCTTAGGAGGATAATGATTGAACAGATACACCCAAGTTCTCGCGTTATATTTCTGTTTTTCGCATAAAACATTCATAATCAGCGAGTGAACATATACGAAGTGACACGTTAATTTCAGTCGCGATTCAATTTTTAATCACCATTAGCTAATTTGAAACGTAGAGAGTTTCTTTGTAATTGTTTTCACTATCTCGAACGCAAATGAGTTTTTCATCTCCATCGTTGTTCCCATTATGAAAAAAGCTATAATTGACTTAACGATTACTTTTGCAATTATAAACTCCGTAAATTTAAAAATTCGAGATAAATATTATCAACTTTATGACTCAAGTTTTATTTGCTACTTTCTTAAGACAAAAACATCTTGAATATCAAAACCGCACACATCCTATAAACTTTATCTGCTTCACGTATTGGTTCAAGGTACGTTAGGAAACTGTATTACCACCCGTAAGAAAAGAGAAAGGAGCGCCCCCGCACTATGAGAACCATCGTCGATACATGATCTTACGGGCCGATTTATTTCATTTTATTTTCTTCGCAATGACACAAAATCCAGTTTAAAAAATATCGCTTTTTGGTATATTTTCTTTGCGATTTCGCAAATTTTATCAAATTTAACAGTCGTCGAGAAATTGTAAATTTCACAACTCGTAGGACGTAACTATAAAATTATCGGCTAAAAATGTCAAACGTTGTTTATGGCGACGTTAAAAACCCGATCGCGAGAGACCAAAATCTGCCGATGCTCCCCCCTTGCGTATCTGTAACACGACGCAGAGAAAAAGAGAGAGCTTATCAACCACAGCGTGGCGTAATAATTTGACCAACACGTGGAGTCATGAAAAAAAATATATACATACGATTTTTATTCTCTCGGGCCTTAATTTTATCTTTTTGAGCCTCATAATACACCCACGGACACCGCAGGCCGGCCCGTGAAATAAAACCGAGGCAGGAAGGACGATAATACTTTTCGGTACTTTTGTACGCAAAGCAACGAAAAAAGAAAAAAAAAATTACGCCGCGGGAAGTCATCCGCTCGAGGGCCATTTCGCACGCCACGACGACGACGACGACGATCCGAGGCGCTATCGCCCACCGCCGCCGCGAGACCGATACTCGCACAGACGCACACGCGCGATTATAAATTGCATCGACGCAGACTTTCAGCATCTGCTGCTCTCGATATTATTAGAGACTTGAGCTATCGGCTGCCGGGCATGAAGATGATGACGACGAAAAAAAAGGGACTCGATTATTATAGTGCACATTTTGCAGGGCGGCTCTTTGTTCTTTCGAGCGATGCGACTATTAATTTTCGCGGCGTATATATGTACAAGACGCATCGGCGTCAGAATTTCAATAATAAATTTTCGGCGAGACATACCACAGCGCTGCCGCGCATCAATACGTATACGTACGCGTGCGTGCATGCTATTATAGAAATGAGATACCGATCGACGAGATTTTTGATGCAGATTTAAGTGTTCGTAAATAAAGTTTTGTAGCCTCGAAATGGCCGTGTGCATCGCAGGATCGTTCTTTGCATATTGCGACGATCGAGTCGAAAATTTGCTACGCACGCGTATATACTTTTGCATCCTGGATGGGCTATGAAAAATTTATAACGTTTTGTTATTGGGTCAATCGTTTCGCAATTTTAACGCAACGACTCCGTAACATCGGCCGCGGTAGCGCGCGTTGACGTTAATATGTATCGCGCTTGTACGCTCGTTGACATCTCCGAATCGCATAGCATAATTGCAGAGCACGGAGACGTGTCGAAGTGAAATATCAAGCGGTGGATGTAAAAAATTAGCCGGCACGAGGTTGACGTTTAAATTTTGTTGTACCGTGTCAAAAACAAAGACGGCATAAATCAAGACAAAGGGACAGAGTGGTAATACCGCGCGCGTATATTACACTCGCACGAGAGATACACAGCTGCCAAAGAGTCGAGCGAGCGCGTAATGTTATAAAACAACATTCGCTTCGGGATCCGTGTGTGGGCACTATTTGAAGCCTCGAAGAAACGTGCATTATTTATAATTTTTTTCGCTCTTTCTTCGCGCCGTCGTCGTCGTCGTACGTATATACGACAGAAATGTGAAAAGGCGCGCGTGCAATGTATACAATAAACGAGCATTAAAACTCACGCGCTCGTACGAGTGTGGACCTTCATTCGGAAAGGCAGTCGCATTCGTTTTATACAGATTTATGGTAATACGAAAAGAGCGCGAGCGCAGAAAGAGAAAAAGTGTCCGGCCGCAAGTAGGTGTTGCAACTTTTCGTTGCAGCTGCCTGCACGCGTCACGTGGATGTGTATCGTATTCACACACACACAGCCGATAAAATTGATTTCTCACTGGAGCTCGCGAATGACAGATTTGCGACGTTTTATATATCAAACGAGCAGCGGACAAAAACAATTTGCAAGAGTTAAGATACGCGCGCGAGAGTATATTTTATTATTCGTGTTTTTGGATAAACGTGTCGGATAATAAGTGTCAAGATGAATTATAAACTGAATAAAATAGGATTTTTAGTTTTTAGATGGTTAAATTGGACAGAAAACTTTTTTTCTTTCTCGCCCATTTCGTCTTTTATGCAACGTATTTATACATCGGACACACCGACGCAACCTGGAATTCCTCTGGTGTTTTTTCGATAAATAAGCATTTAATTTGGATGTCCTCTGGCGTGACCACTACACCCGATGTGTGTTTACGCGCACATGTTTCGAGTTCGTTTATTTGTTTTTTTCTCGGCAACCGAAAAAATACGATCTCGTCCACAGTTCGGAAAAGAAAAGAGTTGAAAAGAATCGAAGGAGACGACGACGATACTGCCTGGATATCGACCGTGTGTTTTAGAATTAGGAAAAAGAAGGAAGCGAAATCTCAGTAGCGAGATACGATCTCTGCCTGCGCTCTTGTCTTACCCACCTGTGGCACGCAAGTGTGTATGCGCTCTTAACGGTAATTAACGCTGAAAAATATTCACCAATCGAGACGAGCCAATATATATGTTATACATAAAATACAATCTTGTGTATACTACAGAGCTGAAAGAATGAATAAATATATAAAAATACTTATGCACATGTAAGCTCCGCGATGATTAACTTATGCTACGAACGTGCATATCGAGTGATAAAAAGTGTATAAGATAAAAGAGAAAAAAAATTTCAGATAGAGAAAAAAAGCAAGATATTATTTCACTGGATAGTACACTGAACGAGTCGATAAAAATATGGTCACCCAAGGGCTGTTATAAATGCTTCAGTCGTATTACAGGCAAAAATATACAATCACAAGCTTTGTTGGCCGCAAGTTTTCTTCTCTATGATATGAGTCAAAGTTAATATACATCTTATTATTGACAGGGAAGCCATCTCAAAAAGATCACGGTAATTGGCTTATTCACCATGTAGTTGGTCCTTTATAAGATAAAAAAATATCAACGATTCAAAACGCGATAATAAAAAATTGATTGAAAGCATTTGACCTGTAAAAGGTGAGAATTTCAACCTCAAATAAACAGTTTTAAATAGTTTCGTTGTTTATCTTGAAGAGCAACAACTCTAGAAAAATACAAATCATAAAAAAATCTTTCAAATTTGTCAATGAATCAAATACTGCGAATTATTATAGATCACCGAATAATCACATCTCATGTTAGTTTTGTTTGATATTTGAACGAAGACGATACTTTTACCACCTATAATTCAGTATCAATAGTATGATGATGTAAATAAGGAAACTCTCGGAATCATCAAAGTATAAACAAAATTAGTAGAGGGGATAACTGATGTGTCAGCAATTAATCAAATAAGCGTGGCTAAATCAGAGTTTTCCACAGTATTAGAAACGGCTCAGTGCTAATAATTCATTAAAGTATTTCTGCTAAAAAAAACGAAAGTAGTGCACAATGTCTCGATCCAATGATAGAAAAAAAAAATTCTTACGCGAAGCCGTTAGATCAAGAGATTTAAGTTGGGTTAAAGCATTATTGCAAAATCGTGTTGATCCGAATACGGTTATTGAGGATGGCCAGGCAGCTCTTCATTATATCTGTTATCAAGATGAGTTGACGATGATTCACTTGAAAATGATTCGAAGTTTTATCCAGTATGGAGCCGACGTTGATATCCAAAATATGTTAGGTGACAGTCCTATAATTACCTTATATCGTCAAGCGGAAGATTGCCAATTTCGCTTGCAAGTTTATGAGTTACTACTAAGAGAGGGAGCCGACGTTACATGTGTTGACAGAGTTGGTAACACAGTATTACACTGGATCGTTCGCAAAAAGAAGAATCGAAGTATTGTAGAAACAGTGGAATTGTCGTTGGAATCTGGATTAGATGTAAATATCCAAAATACAATGGGTCAGTCTGCACTTCATGTTGCGATAAAATACAATTCGCGAAATTTAGAAATCGTTGAACTACTTTTGAGAAATGGCGCCGACCCAAGTGCAGTTGATAATGATGGCTGGACAGCTCTGAATATCATTTGTGCACACTCTAAGTTGGAAAAAGTCCATTTGAAAATGATTAAACGTCTTATCGAACACGGAGCTGATGTTAATATTCCAGATAAAAGAGGCCACAGTCCTATAATGACCTTATATAATGGTGCGAACAATTTCAAGTTACGCTTAGACATTTTTAAGTTACTGCTGGAAGCCGGAGCCGATGTAACATTTGTCGACAATGCTGGTGATACAATATTACACTTGATCCTTTGCAATAACGAGAATCCAAATATTGTAGAAGCAATAAAATTGTCGTTGGAATATGGATTAGATGTAAATATCCAAAATGAAAAAGGTCAGTCTGCACTTCATCTTGCGTCATTGCACTGTGAATGTATAAAAGTAGTTAAACTACTTTTGAAAAATGGAGCTGACCCTAATGTAGTTGATAATGATGGCTGGACAGCTCTGAATTACATCTGTGCAAAACGCACTTTGAAAGTTGTTCATTTAAAAATGATTCAGCTTCTTATCCAATACACAGCAGACGTTAATATCCAAAATGTGTTTGGCGACAGTCCTATAATGTCCTTATATATTTGGGAAGATTTACGCTTTACGCGTAATTTACGCTTCAAAGTTTTTAGCTTATTACTGGAAGCCGGAGCCGATGTAACGTATCTCAACGAAGGGGGAAATACAATGTTCCACATTATCCTTTACAATCCAGAACATCGAAGTGTTACGAAAGAAATGGAAGTGTTGTTAAAAAGTCGAGTTAATGTACACACTCAGAATAAAAAAGGTTATTCTGCACTTCATTTTGCGGCATTTTTCTCTGAACCTCTAGAAGTATTTGAACAACTTTTGAAAAATCGTGCCGATCCAAATGCGGTTGATGAAAATGGCCAGACAGCTCTTCATTATATCTGTTATCAAGATAAGTTGACGATGACCCATTTTAAAATTATTGAACTTCTTATCGAATACAGAGCTGATGTTAATATTGCGAATAACGACGGTGAAAGACCTATAATGGCCTTATATTATAATGGCGCGAAAGATTTCAAGATACGCTTGGACGTTTTTAAGTTACTACTGAAAGTCGGAGCTGACGTTACACATGTCAATCTCGAGGGTGACACAATATTAAACTATATACTTTACAATGGAAAGGATCCAAATATTGTCGAAGCAGTGGAATTGTCGTTGAATCATGGATGTGCTGTAAATATCAAAAATAAACTTGGTCAATCTGCACTTCATTTTGCGGTAACATTTTCTCAAAGTCTAGAAGTAATTAAACTACTTTTGGAAAGAGATGCCAACCCAAATACGGTTGACAACAACGACAGGACAGCTATGAATTACATTTGCCTTGAACCTGGCATGAAAAAGGTGAACTACAAAATGATTAAAACTCTTATCGAAAACGACGCCAATGTGAATATCCACGATAATTTCGGTCACAGTCCTATAACAAATTTGTTTGCGCTTGGTGATTGTTTGGTTAGCGAATTAAGATTATGTCTGAAAGCTTTTCGATTGCTATTACAAAAAGGGGCCGTTTGCCAACGTTCACAAGTATTTGGCAGATATGTATCGTATAATTTCGACGAAGCTGATCCGTTAGGTGATACCTCAGATGTTGTAAAAGAAGTTCAATATCTGTTAAAAACTGGAATGAATGTGAATAAACGAGATAAAAAAGGTCGTTCTCCACTACATAAAGCGATTTGTGAGTTAAGAATCGAACATGTTCAATTCTTATTCAGGAATGGAGCCGATCCAAATATAGTTGATGCCTACGGCAACATACCCTTGAATTATACTTTTAAACGTTTTGAACATGCAGACATGACATCCCAATTTAAGATATTTTTGAGGATACTGGAACTCAATATCAAATTCAATGCAAATCTTTCTCACATTGGTAGTAATGGCAAAACCGTATTGCACTTACTGATCATAAAAGTAAGTAAATTTTTTTTAAGACCTGATAAGAAACATGAGTTGGCAAAGGTCTCGAAGTACGTGCTACAGTATATTAAAATACTTTTAAAACATGGATTGAATGTCAATATCAAAGATCGAGAAGGATTTACTCCGCTAAATGAGGCGGTGTCGCACTGTAATTACCGCATAGCTCAATTTCTTGTGAAACGTGGAGCTGACGTTAATACTGTCAATTTCAAGGGTGGATTTTTGGAAAATAAGGTGTTCCCATCCTTAAACCTAGTGACAACTTTAAACCTTCTAGATATTATCGAACTTTTGCAGGGCAAAAAGTTCGAAATCAAATCCGAACAGTATTTAACACTATTTAAATATTTGACGTTATATGAAAATTTCCAAATTAAGGACAGACGATATTCAGAACTCTTAGATGTGTGGGCTACCACTGATCCTTCCACGGCACAACGTTTCTTCTATGATATTTATCAATTAGGTGAGAAAACAAAAATCTTTCTTAGCGTTAGTTTCAGTATCCATAAACTGGTTTTAAATGAATTTCTCGATTTAAAAATACTTAAGTACTCAAATAAAAACAATAAATATTTTTAAATAATGAAGTACAAATACAGTGGGTGCTGAGCATTATTTCTATAAAATCTATATCTTCAATTTTATGTTTTATTTAGGTTCTGGATCTGATATTAGAAAATTTGTTGAAACGCTAATTCACACAATAAATGGTAGTCCAACACTCAACGACTTCTACAAGAAAAACGTTAAAAAATGTTTATATGCTAATATTCAAACATATCTACACCTGACAAAAGATGGACCTATGTACGTGGATAGCGAAACAAAGAACTATTTGCAAGAGAAATTGGATACACTTGTTTCGGATTTCTGGCAACCAGAAACTGATGAACGATATAAAAAAAGTAGGGATGAATTACACCAAACATTAAGAATAAAACTTGATTTAGCTAAAACAATGATGATAGGAAATTCTGAGATTTCAATTCTGGATCTTTGTACTTTTGGTCCAGATAAAACGTACAGCTTATTGAAAAATTGTGGTGATTATGAATCAGTAATATACTCAGATACTTTTAGCCAAACATTGAATAATAACATTGGAGGATTTATAATGGGATACATTATTAAAGCTTTAGTAAGGAGATTAATACTAAAAAGTATTGACCGGTTGAAACTAACCCAATTACCCATTATATGTTTTGAAAAAATCATGGAGTGTTTAGATACTACAGATCTAGTTTCTGTATATAAGGCAACGGAATTGCAAACCCAAAATAATTGTAATCAACAATCAAAATGAAAATATTGAATTACTTATTAACATTTTTGTATATATACTGTATATTGTATATATATTGGAATATATTGTACATATATTGTATATTGTAGAAAACAAGTCATAATTCGAAAAAAATGTTATACTTTTACTTGGGACCAGTGTTTGTTATTTTTTAACACTCTTTTCATAATCCAAAAATTGCCATCCTGCACTGAAATACATGATCATTACATTATCATTGATAAAATAATCTATAGAAATATCACAATATTGAATATTAAGGGGCATATATTTTCAGCATTTTTTTATGCATCGTAATTCAAAGTTTATTTGCTGATTTTTTAATGTTTGAAACCGAAGCTAATGATGCTGTAATCGCCTCCGAATCGTATCGGTGTTATGTTCAAGAACTCGAAATAAACAGGTAAGATCAACTGGAGAACGCAAATCAAATCAGACGGAGTTGAGCGCTGAGAATCAAGACCGCCGTGGCTAATATTTGACCGTAAAAGTTCGCGTTTATAGAAGAAATCAGCACCTCTACGTGTTCCTAACGCATGACCATTGACGCTAATAGGTACTCCTTCGCTCACGATGCGTGTGCACACACATGCCTTGACATTGGCTCGACTCACGAGCTGCGCTGCACGCGCGGGTGATAAATATATTCGAGGAACTTGCGCACGGCTTGGCGAGAGATACAAAATACAAAAAAAAATGATGGCTTACCAAGATGGGACGTTAGCGTTACGAGAGAATTGCGTGACTCACCTGGAACAGAACAAAAATTGTATCATCAATAAAATTTTTGTATTATAGTTCATCGTCGCTTATAATGTGCATCGCATTGCTGTACGTGCAAAGGTGTGAGAATAAACTATTCTCTAATTGAAAAAAATTGAAAAAATTTTTTTCTCTCTCGCGATTGACTGCATTACTACTACGGGCTCACGTGACCTCGAATTTTCAAACCGCAATCCTGTCCTCTTGACAATTATACACCATACACGCGTTCACGTTATGTACCACTTGCGCGAGCCTGCAGAGAGAAAGAGAGAGACACAGACACTCACCAGTGGCTTTATAACACACTCGACTTGGTTTTAGCCTTATAATAGCAACGAAGCGCGAAGCGATCGTCACGATCCAAGTATAATTAAATTGCATGGCACCCTGAGCAGCAGCATAAGCATAGCAACAGCAGCCGCAACAGCAGCCACAGCAGATAAAGTGGCGTCGCGTCGCAAACGATCTCGTCGCGGCCGGCAAAAATCACCGCGCGCGCGCATTGATTGATTAATCGCTGATTATACCTAAGAGCAATGGCGCCGAATTAAATTAATTATGCGAATAAAGATAAAAATGAAAATGAGAAAAAAATGATCGTATCCAGCCGTTCACGCGTGCAATTTTAATACACAAACACGACGTATAATACGCAGCGATATAATGTCGCGCACCGAGAGAAAACTAAACAGCCTTGCATAATGCACGCCTGTACGCTCGCATGTAACGCGGCGCGTAATGATTATTAGCACGAGCAGCTCTCTCGATTTATTTATATCAAAGCTTTATAATAACGCGGACTCCTTACTACTGCTGCTGCTGCTGCTGCTGCTGCTGCTCGATTGTGCGTATGTGTAGGCGTTTCGTCATCGCCTAGACGCATTTTATACGCGTATTTATGATAATAAAACAGTCTCGCGGTTGAGAACAAAGTTTTTCGTTGTAATCGCCGGCCACTCGGCGATCTAACGCGAATCGAATCGATCAAAGCCGCGATCGGCTAGTTGCGCTGTCCGCTGTCTCTGTGTATATTGCCAGCAAGCGCCGGGGTGCACATAAATACACTCGAGAAAATACGTAGACAACGCCGCTGCTTAACTTTATGACAGCTGCTTCTGAGTACTGTCATTATGCTGCCGTGCATATACATATTCAGTTGATACGGGGCTTAACTGATATATAGATAGAGGCGTATATAATACCAAGAATGTCTTTTTTTCGCGCGCGACTCGCGCGTTAACGTTACATGCTCACGCGAACACCAGAAGGTTGCACAATTATAATAAGCACAAACTTTGTGTTGTTACACGAGTGTATGCGAACACTGCTGAGACTCGCTCGTTTCGCTCATTATAACGCATTAGAATAAATCTCGGCTATTGCTACTACTAGGTGTGCGCGCGAGAGAGAGTTTCGAACGAGAGAAGAGCGGAGAACGAGTGAGAGAGAGAGAGAGAGAGAGAAAGAGAGAAAAATATCGCGACGTGCGGCTGACGTATTATCTCTTGGAAAACGAGGCTTCGAGCTCTCTCGCGTGTGTAATATATGTAGTGTACGTATCTGCAATATGTTTATTTACAACTAAACAAACATTGCAGCAACGATTCGCACATTAATAATATCACGCGCTCGTATCTCGGCGCTTATAAGCTCGGCAACTGCAGCAACAGCCTAATACATAACGTATTAGCGCGCGCGTTACAATAATCTTCCCGCGGCATCGATAATTCACCGTCTCGTTTATTCGTTTGTCTATCTCTAAAATCCCATTTGTATTTATTATTTAAATACAATGTAGCTATCAACAATAACCAGCTGCGTTATACATTTGTATATAAGCACGATATAATAATGCGATTCGCGTGCGTACTCTACTATACGGCGAGCGCCGCGGCGGAGGAAGTCGCCGACATCGCCACCGCCGCACAAATCAAAGCAGCGGCAGGAGCAGCTATATACGCTGCACTTGCGAAAGCCAATATTGCCGAGTTATACGCGTGTGTATCGTACACACATATAAATGCCGTTTCGAGAGAGAGAGAGAGAACCGGCTACGCGAGATCGCGCATACGACGCCCGGTTCGGTGCTCGGAGCTTTATACGCGATCGTGTGTGCGGTAGTGCCACACGTTTTATACATGTGCATATAACAGTGGCATCCGGATAGATGTTGGGTATAATATGCGCTGGACCGGCATATTTCTCGTATATTACGAGGAGAGTGCGTGTACGCGGATTAGGAGCTACTTTTTACGGACGATAAAAAGCGAAAATATTACAATTTTCTGAATTACTTTTCGATGTACGGGTTCGTTTTGATGAATAGTTGGCGTTATTACTTTTAGGTAAACTTTCGGTTTTTGGTACACTCGATAAGTAAATTTGTCTCAATAAGTTTAAATAAAATACTGTCAACATTTTTTGCCCGAAAATTGGACTAGAATGCGATTTCCAGTCTTGAACTTCAGTACTTATCATCTCATATATATATTGAAATGTCACTATCAAGTCTCTGAACATGGTCGTCTAAACATGGCTCTTAGTGCTATAATTTATGCTATAACTTTGTTTATTCTGTTTTGATATCTGAAAATTCAGCCTTACGCCATCTGGAGGTAAGTTAAGTACTATTACTTGGACCTCGAAAATTTCCGATCAATTAGTCGCTTCCTTCACTGCGCAACGTACATCGTGAAACTGTAGCGACTAATCAATCGCAAATTTTCGAGGTCTCAGCGGGTGTGTAGGTAAAATTGCGATGTATATGAGGAAGCGTACGCCGCAGCTCTCTCTGCCATACTTGCCAGAAGGAGCGCGAAGCGCGCTTCTCAATTTGCCACCAAACATTAAAATGTTGTATTTTTAAAGCATTTGACGTTACTTTTAATGCAAATATCTTACTTAAAATAATTAAATTGCAGTATATTTCATTAATTTTAATGTTGATACCTTATTTTTCAGTTTATCATCACTGCATTTTAGGAACGTCTTTTGTAATTTTAAAGTAAATAAATATATTGTAAATGGTTATTAAGGTATGCCTACTGGAATATTTCATTACAAAAATTTATTACAAAACCCGAAATCCACGAATAATTATTATAGCGTACCCGAAAATAGAGAGGGTAAATAAAGTGAAAAAGAGTAAATAGTATTCGAGTCAAACGAACGTCTATAACCGGCAATGCATATTACGGATACTTACTTACACTACTACTTACTTTATACGAGTTATAAAAACATAAAAAAATATATTGTATGTATAATTTTTTACCGCTGATTTTTTTTCTTGGCATGCGCGTGCCGTATACGGGTGATGCGCGTAATCTTTCTTCCTTTATTTGATTTCATTAGCCGCAATATAAAAACGACTTTTAATTTGTATCTCGTAAATGTAAAAGCAAAAATTAATTGAAACATACGAAAAATGAACTGAGAGATTTTTTTTAATGCGCGCGCAAGATTGAAATAAAATTTTTATGCCATTTTATATAAAGGAATGGTTATATTTATATGACGAATTATTATTATTCGTATTCGATTTTAACGACTGGAACGGTTCGCGTTTATTTTGAAATATCGAGTGTGTAATTTTTCGATTCATGGATAAAAATGGCGAAAACTATATGACTCTTAAAATCTCTTCCTCTCATTGGTGCGTTTATAGAAATATAACTTGGTGTATAATAATACACAAAGTGCAGTTAGCCTACTTATGCGCTTTGGCGCAATATAATGAGCAGCATAAATCCAGCGGCAATATAAACTTCATAAAAAAACCAACAACGCCCGGTTTTGTACAATATTACATGTGCAGGTCTTGGGCTGCCGCTGCTGTTGCTTTTTCTGCTTCGTCTGCCGAGAGATGCGCGAGAAACTCAATTATGAAGCACCTACGACCGCGTAACGTGGATATGGCTTTGCAATTAATTACTCGAGACGCATGTCGCTGAAGATCGTAACGTTATTAAATAACGAAATAATTAAAATGTCGCTGAAGATCGTAACGTTATTAAATAACGAAATAATTAAACA